AGGACAATGATTATAGAGAGCAATATTTGATCAAATCTAATTAATGGCTTTCAACTTGGTCATTACTTTTATCCCTTCATAAGAGTAATCTTGATTTGAACGCAGCCATCAATATGAAGTCGGTCCTTGAACTAATTGACTTTCCGACAATTGGTCCTAATCTGACCGTTGGATCCTGTGAGAGGGCTGAGGTTTCCCATTTTGATCATAGCATTGGCGAAGTCAGCTCTGAAAGTCGCAAGGTTGTTGCTATAAGCAGTGACTTGAGAATCTGTGGATCCGCCATTGAAGAGCTGTTGATCAGAGTGCAACAAGCCCTTCTTGCTCAACAAGTTCTTGAAGTAAGCGTTGTCGAAGAAATTGGGAGTGGTCGTGTCGAAATTCGCCAGGTTGGTGTCACCACCTGTGCTCGGACAGTTTCTTTGTAATGTCTTTGCGAACGAGGAATCAATGTTGGACTCGTTGTAAATCCTCGCTCTAAAGTTGGTACACTGTGCTTTCCCTATTGTGTGAGCTCCTGAACAATACATAAGATTTGTATCTAATCAACGTCAACCATGATGATTACATTATTTTGCATATAGTTCTCACAGATATGTTTAAAATGATCGATTCACACACATGCATATATATATATATATATATTGAGCATGATCGAGGAGCATATATCCCGAAAAGGGGATAAATGCACCAAAAAATTCTAAGAGAACAAACAAATGAGCATGACCACATGTCTTAATTCAATACCTTAAGACACTGGGTATATAGATCTTTTCCACTTATATAATTCTTCGTTCAGTTCTATCTAATGACTTTTCTTAGTATCAAGCTAAGTCAATTCACACCATCCTAACCGATTTACCTGAAAGTGCAACCATTTCTTTAGCAGTGAAACCTTTGTTAGAGAAAGCAGTTATAAGAGCATTAACATCCAAAAAGGGAGCCGGCAAGTCGGAGTTAGCTGAACTTAAACTTGCTGTAGTCGAATCTCTTCTTCCCAACTGTGCCGTCCATCTGGGTCCACCTAGCTGAGAAATGTCTTCAATGTGTCAATATCTCGCCTTAGATAAATACATACACGTACCACATATCTATGGTGTTTAACTACTTACAGCAACAACAGAGTCTCTGGCAGCAACAGCGACGATGTCGGCGCAGGAGACAACGCCGGGGCATAAAGTCTCAAGCTTCGATTTAATGGAGTCGATGACTTCGTAACCTCGGACAGAGTTAACATTCGGAAAGGCTGTCTTCTCGCCTGTGAAAGTTGAAGTGTCATCTAAAAGTATAGATGCATCACATCCCTGCAGAAGCAATATGGAAATGAAGAACGGTCAGTACTAAAAAAATTCAAGAATATATGATGAACGCTAATGAATGCATGCAATGTTTGTCTAAACTCTAAACTATTATTGTCTCCTTGCCAAGTCGACCTGGCCTTGATTTATCATTGTATTCGTGCGGTAGGTGGGTGGGTGTTTTTTTTATTAGATTGTGTAGTGGAGCGTATAATAATTAAATAAATGCACGTCATACAAAAGCAAAATTTCCCAAGAGACGTTGTATAAAATAAGTAAAGAGAGAGAGAGAGAGAGAGAGAGAGAGAGAGAGATAAAATGACGTGTGTGTGCGTGTGATGTGTAGGACTTAGACTTGCCTGAACGAAGCAATCATGGAGTGAAGACGAAGAAGGGACGCTCCCATGCGAGGCTCTTTAGCGACAGCAATTATACTGATGCTTTAATGGTAGCAAGGGCTAAAGGACTTTGTGGCATAAAAATTAGGAGACAACTGAGCTGAAACGATTCCAAGAACACAAGACAAGAAGAAGAAAAAGCTGAGTTTGCGATTATTTAGACCAGACATGGCTATTATAACTTCAAAGAAATTGCAGAAGAAGATGAAGATATATAAAGCTAGCTTTGTAGTAAGAAGCAATGCTTGTTGTGGTTTTCGAATGGGGAATGTGAGTGTACTTATATAGGGAAACCAACGCGTGTCACGTTCAAAGGGTCAACATCGATGAGCCCCAAATGATTAAACAAACCATGTTTGAATATTCAATAGTGCTGGTGGAAAGCAGGCTGGGTGGACCAGACCCCTCGAGGCGTTAGCTGTATTTTGGCTGTACTCCCTGTAATTTTATTTGTAAATTGCTTCCATTATTTTTATCAAAAAAAAGAAATTTTAAACCTCATTCAATATGTTTAAAAATTCAATAAGTTTAAATTTTATCCTATTAAATACACATGTATTAAAATAAAATATTTTAATATTTAATAGATTTTTTAATATTTAATAGGATAAAATAAATTATAAAATAAAAAATAATAATTATTAAAATGTCTTATGAATAAAATTAAAATAAACATACATTAAATCTCACTCC